ATATATATATATATATATATATATATATATATATATATATATATATATATATATATATATATATATATATATATATATATATATATGCCAAATTAATTAAATCAATTAATGTTAATGGGTAAAACAAATAAACTTTTTTTCTCTGGTTAATTCTACACTAAGATATTAAAATACAAAATAGGTGAAGAATTCGGATTTGAAAAACACACCTACCAGTAGTATTATTCGAATATTGGCAGAATCTTTGTCCTTGTAAGATACTGAAAAGAAAGAAAAAATATTGCAAAAAATAATACAAAAATGTTTAATCTTCTCGAGAATTTTGTTCAACTATCGATTATGCAAATTTTAGTCAAGGAAATGCATTCTTCTTTTAACACTTATTATCAGATATGTTTTTTGATTAAGCTATTGATTATGCAAATGATACCAAGATCATCATTACCCGAATCTTGTTAAGAAATGAGGAATTTGTCGATGTTCAGAGAAGTAATCTTTGGATGTGAAAAAATGAGCATTTGTGAATACCTGATTGCTATTGCTTATTGGTTGATATATCTGTAAAATTGCGCTTTTATCTTGGGAAAATTAAGAGATTAATAGGAATTTAAATTTAGTTTATAGAAGATTAAATTTCAAAAGCTTGGTACTGCAGTGATTAATTTCTTCATTAATTTAGATGCTTTTTAATTCACTTTGATTTTGCTAAAAGAAATGACATTTTCAAAAAGCTATCAAGATAGATATGACAGATATGGATTTCATAAAGTAAATACTACAAATTTTGACTAACAATTTGTATGATAATGTTGTATGATCAAATTTTTAAATCCAAAAATTTATACTTTTCTGTTTTTCATTAAATTTCTTGGGAGTTTATTTTAAAATAACCTTTAATTAACCTTAATTAATTCTTCGAAACTTGGCAACTTATTGATTTCAGTAATGTATGAAGTATCCATTGGAGAACCGACCATTTTCCGGATTTCCGTATCTTCGCACGCTGGTTCCTTTTCACTTTCACTATCAATGAATACTACATTAGTTGTATGTTTTAACCAGTAATTGTTATTTCTTAGCTTTTTTTTTGAAAAAGAGAAAGGTAAAATCCAAAAATTTGACAGTTTTTGTAGATTTTATAATTCAGGAAAAAATTGGAATTTTGAATAAAGTATTACTTTGCCGAAGAATTCGATCCGATAACATTGCTGCTTTTAGCATATTTTCTTATGTCACTGCTGTCAACCATTGATTTATTATAAAAGTCGATATGAATGGATGACGGACAACTTTTGGGAAGTTTTTGGTTAAGACGTCGAAGATGCTGTATCAGTGGTATCAATTGATTTGATCGCGGTGTTTTTATATAAAACGATCGAAGCACAGCACCCAAGAATGGTAAATGTGCTGAGTTTTTCAACCTGTTAAATTTTTAAAGTCTCAAGACAGTTCCAATATTCATCACAAAATTTAATTGTGTAGTAAATGCTTGGATGAAGATCTTCAGAATTTTTCAAAAATTAAGTTTCAAAAAAAAGTGAGCGGACCATTGCAAAGTGAAATTGACCACATCAATTTTTCCCTTTGATTTGATGTATGGCGAAGCAAGCAATGCTTTGATAGCATTTAAAGTTAATTTTTGAATATCATTATCTGAGAGAGTATTCATAATTGTAGCAAACTTTTGACAAATTATTCCTTGTACCATAGAAGAAACCTAAAAATTGACCTTTATAGATTTTTTGAAATTTGACCTTTTTATTTCTAGACTTTCCGAATTCTGAATCTCACTTATACAATAAGTTTTTTGTCTACAAAACATGAACCTACTAGCGTGATCTTGCAAATACACGTTTCATGTAGATGAAATTTACAAACAATCACTGATGATTATCAGTAAATATCATTATGGAAAAAGCGCTAACCGAACATTCTGGATCAGTAGCAATATTGATACAACAGATGATACAATCACTTTCCTCTGCAAATACTTGTAAGGTATTTTCTAAATTTTGTTGCAGTTTATGAATACCAAGATTGTTGACAACCTTTAGGTATTCACCATATTCTTTCACTGTCACTTGGATCTGAAAAAGCACAAAGAAATAAGATAATTACTGGACTTAAAATTAATTGGACCAAGTTTGGTAAAAGTTTAATGGACGTTAATTTGAAATAAATCAATAAATCTTACCCATTTTTCGTCTAATTTTTATGTCTCATTTTTTTCTCTTTCTCTCTCTATGTAACTAAGATCTCTGAATTTACTTAAAAAGAAAAACTGAAAGTCTACTTGAAGAGCCAATGTTCATAATTCAAAGAAATTATTATTTATAATTGAAATCGAACATTCAAAATGGTCAAAATTTGATTTGAATTGCCGAAATGTTAGAAATTCTGCATATTATAAAAAATCCTTAAAAGGTGAAAGGTTGAATTAGAAAAGACACGAAGCTACCTCTCCGGTATACATCCAATCAATAATAGCTGAAATAACTTTGTATTGAAAATTGAGGAGTAAAATCCGAAATGGTGTTTGATTGCATTTAACCATCTGAAATGAAGAGATCAGTAGTTGGTGATGAAGCATTTACATAGGTGACGATGTCAACAACGCACACTGTCAAAAATGTAATATCACTAAATCAGGATATTCAATAAACCTTAGCAGCTATACAAATATTAAAATTTAAAAATATCACATTACTCATATCACATACCGTACGAATGTAATTCGAATATATGACACCGATATTGCTATGCAAAAAATCGATTTGCATTTGAGCACAAATAATTTCAACATCAGCGGTACTTGAATCTCGTTTCACACGTAACTCACGTAGATATTGGCCAATGCTATTGCAGTGTTGTTGAAAATTATGTTCCTTCAAGTGAAACATCCTGAAATAATCAATTAGGAGGTTTAAGCATTTATCGATTCGGAAGGACGATTATTTGACGGATCCAAAATCGAAAATTATTACTCTCGATTAGTCGGATTTATTTGTCACTTCTCTTTTTGTACCTTTTCCAATTTCCCTTTTTGTCATCTCTTAGTTCTCACTGCTAAAACTTACTTGTGCTAAAACTATATTGTTAAAACTTACTGCTAAAACTTACTCCTTAACATATAAATCAAATGTGAAATCTCCGTACGTTTCAATGCGGAATGCGCAAAAGATCGGAATCGTGCGATTTTGACACCATGTATCACTCTTTTAGCTTACCAACAATAATCCTGTTCTAACCTCTTACAGTAACAATAGCTAGAATTATACAATCATTTAAAATTGTTGGTCACGAAAACTTGATAAATTTAAAAAGTATTACTTGTCATGAAGACTAGACTTCATCATTCCTGTCAAATCGGAAATCAGTAAAGAAGACAGGATTCGACCTTTCAACCACCAAACAAATACACTGACTGATTGTGAATAACAATAAGACTGTTGTATTAAATACCAGCAATTTATTCATTTCAAATTGTTTCGAAATTTACAGTCTAAAATTTGCATATGAAATTAGAATATGACCATTTCATCATGTCATTCACAGTTATGATTCATTCTAATTTAAACGAATGTAATCAATATTGTCATGTGTTAATTTGCGCCACCAGCAGTTTGTTTTGCGCCATAAGCCATAAGCGAATTATCGAAATTGTTCTTACATGTCATTCATAGTTATGATTCACTCTAATTTAAACGAATGAAATCAATATTGTCATGTGTTAATTTGCGCCACCAGCAGTTTGTTTTGCTCCATAAGCCATAAGGGAATCATCGAAATCGTTCTTAAATTGTTTTTTTAATTTGTCAAAATATTTTTTAGATTTAATTTCATGCGAAAATATTTTTGATTGCATAGAATGAACAAATATTTTTAATTTGAAATTCAATGTAAATTTATAAGAAAAGTTCCGTTTTGCCTTGTTTTCAAATTCAAACGATACGAAAATATTTTATGAATAAAATTCATACAGAAAAAGAGATAGATTTGAAATGTATGCAAATATGATTTGGTATGGGTGTGTTCAGTGTTCCAATTGCGCCAACATATTGTAGGCAATTTCTTGTTTGCTATCAATCAAACAGACCAAACTTCAATATTTTGCTTCTATCATTTTTTTCCTTTTTAGTTAAAATTTAACTGATCATCAAAATCATGTCCTTTCTACAATTGTAATGTTCAATTTCATCATTTTTTCCACAATTAACAACTAAGCCAATCTATTCTGATAATCAATTTCAAAATGATGTTATCACTATTGTTTCAGCCTATTAATACTTGTCATCTTTTTTTTCCCATTACTACTTATCCATATGAAGATTGTTACGACAAAATTTACCATAAACGTATGCAAAAAAAAAAAAAACAAAACTACTATCATATTTTAGGAAGACATTTAAATTGGTTTTTCTTTTTTTTTAAAAAAAGGTTACGTTTTCTGTTTAAATATGTCGTTTTCAATCATTTTTCTATCCAATATTCTGTAACTTTTGGGGAATTTAGAAGTTTTTTTGGATACAAAATTTAAATTTTCTTTTGTAAATCATAACTTGATTGACCTATAAATTGAGCTTTTCTTCTTTTTTCTTCTTCATGAAATACAAAATAACGGATGAAATAACACGAAAAAATACAAATTGCATTGGTAATAATGATGCCAAAGTACATCTTTTTTTTTTCTCTCATCACACCTCTTTCAAACGAATGTTTAACAATTGCATGCGCAATTTGTTCATGCGCAACAAGTTTGTATCATTTCTCTCAAAGCATCTCATTTGACTGACCACAATTAACTTACTTCCGTTTTGGTATTTTGCTTGATTTGAAACAAAGTTGGTGATAATCAACTTTATAGGCTTATGGCTCAATTAAATCAGATTCTTAGTTATATTCTAATTTTCTCCCAAAAATTTAAATTTTGGAGTTTGAAAGTGGTTTTTTTTGAAGGTAAAAGTAGTTTTTACATTTTGGCAAATTTTGCAGATCAGTGGTGAAGATTAGCAATGGTAAGAGATCTGAGGAAAACTGCAACAGATAAGTGTAACAGGTGGGAATATAAGTTTTGTGATAACAGCAACGATTATCAAGGCTCTGCTACTATCGGTGACAATGAAGGTTATCACGAAATGCAAGAAGTGATCGAAGAAATAACTCTTCTGGAACCGAATCTCTCCTCCTTACAACCTTCTTCTGCCTGCGAAGTCAGTTTCATCACTGATTTCTTACGGAAATATTATCAGAAGAAATATGTGTGAACAAGAAAACAGTAAAGTGACATAGGTTATCTTTCCCGAAAAAGCTAATTCACAAATAGATTCGATGATTAAGTAAATTGATTTTTTTGCAAATACTTTCCGGAAAAGTCTTGATCCGGCAAACAAATGAGCCTTTCCCCATTCTCTTCGTATTCTAACTGGAAAAAAAAATTTGTTTCGAACTGTTCTTACTATATCGGCGGTAAGATATCAATTCGATTAGAAGTAGATAACTGGGAAAGTTTTGACTTCTTTCTCCGATTTCTTTGTCAAATACATTTGAATGAAACGAAAGGTTAGATTTTGAAAGCAAAATTAGATTCATTGATCCCATTTAACTTCTAATTCGATAATTAAATGAATATATTTTCGTAAGGACCAATACTGATCAGGAAATTTGGACTTCTTCCGGTTAAGATTAAGTCTCTTTGTCGAATAAGATGATGTCCATAGAAGCCAGACAAGAAATTTGTCAGAAAGTTTGGTAAATTTGGTCAAAAATACTTTTCACAACTAGAATTGTTTAACTTAGGTATAAGCACGAAAAAACAAAATAAAAGCAACCAAGCAAAAATTGAATGTAATCAGTCTATCTTCTAATTCCTATTTTAATTTATCAGAAAGTGGAACCAGACTGAGAGAAACGAGATTAGGCCAGAATGCATCGATCAAAAATAACACTATTTTCCAAATCCTTTTTTTTTAAAAAAAAAGAAAGATTAATAAACTATTTAAAGGCAGATGATTTGATTTCAATTTTTTGAAGCAACCGGAATTCAAGATTTGTCCAGTTGAACTGAACTTACATTTCATGAAAATAAATATTTGAAAATCTAGTAATTCTCATTGTGAGTTATTCATTTCTCTAATTTGTGATTGACAACTAAATCTAAATTATTGCTAATTTTCGGTTAGTAAATTAAAAGCAAAAATAAGTAAGGAAACAAATGAATGATTGAATAAATGAATGACTTGAAAATTGTCGCCAGAATTGTCATCACAACAACATTTATAAAATGAAAAATTTCGTATGTAAAGAATAGTGTAGTCTTATATTGGAGGATATTTCATTTACTCATAACTTCATATCATCTTCTCGTAATCTGTTGACAAATTCTTACAGCAATACTAAATTTTATCCCTCTCACCTCTTATAGCACCTCATAAATTCCCGAATGATCGGTGAAATTGCAAAAAAAATATCACAAATTATTCCATTATGAAATTTATTTTTTTAAAATGGTCTCAAATAAATGGGAAAAGTAGAAATTGAGATTTAAAATTATGGCTCATATCAGTTTAATAATCAGAACTAGAACTATAAATTAAATCCGAGAATGGTATAATAGACATGTTGTGGGATAATATCAAAACTAATGTCAACAAATGCTTTGGATTCTCTGGTTTGCCTATCCAAAGGTTCTAATACCTTTGAATTAATATTTTCTCATTATCAGTCCAAAGATATCAGATGCCTCTAAAATGAGCCTTTATGTTTACCTGTTCAAAGATCTCAAAATATCTTTGAATCGATACTTTATCTTCATCCTTGTTTGTTATATTATTTTTTGTGGACTGAAAAAGCTTTCGAATAAACTTCGCTATGTAAAAAACTTAGCAAAGTCTTGATAGATGGACCTGTCAAGTCTATTAAATATTATAAATATTTACAATGAAAGAGTTCGATAAAGAAATTTGTGTCGAATTTTTAGCATAATTATGGGAAAACCAAAATCATTCATAGCAATAGTCATCTCCTACTTAACACGATCATTTAAGCCTAGTAGGAACATTTTGTCTTCATGATATAAATGCGCCTACAATGCTACTCTTCAATTTTAAATTTGATTTCAAGTATGGATGATAACAGTTGTTACCTGTACAGTTTCAAAATCGCTGATTCTTTGTGGCATTTGTCATAGAAGTGATGAAATGCGACCAAAAATAAATTTTTCTTTTATTTATATTTTGAAGAAAAAAAATTTTTATAAATCACTTCTATATCCTTTTATTTGAAATCAATTTAAGGTTTGGGGTTAAGGGTAAAGTTTAAGTTGGTGGTTAATTCTGGGTTAAGTTTAATTTTTAGAGGCAAATCTTCGCTATAAATGTTTTTTTTCTTTTTTTTGCATTTATTATTATTGATAAAAAGCAATCATTGTATTGAAAAAGCAATTATTGTATTGAAAACTAATTATTACCTACGAGAGATTACCATTATAATATTTTCACTCATTTGATTACAATTCAAAAATTATCCTTAACAAACTTTATTTGTTTCATTTATTCCTTTTTCTTCTCGCTATATTGGCTAATACTGGCAAAGATTTGTCAAAATTTTATCAGAAGACTTATCAGAAGTGATTTATCAGAATGCTATCACTCCTTTTTTCCTGTAAAAAAAACGTAGCAAAAATTGGTTGTAAATGATATGAAAATTAGAATTGAAACAAATCAGGTCATAGAAATGATGCCAAAAAAAAAATAATATTTTCGTAAAATTTAATCAAACTTTTTCGGGGAATGTTTCAATGATTAATAAATGGGTCTGATACAGAGCGATTCATCTAGTGAAAAATTGTATTAGTTGATATGGAACAAATGATGTTGACAAAATTTCCATTTATAAATGACCCATGTCATTTCAACGGTATTACAATCGTATCACTTCAAGCTAGCAATTATTGATCATTTTCAATGCAAAATTTTAACTTATCATTTTCATTAAACCATAAACTGAATGATTTTTTTCTTTTTTTGAAAGTTTCAATCGCACGATGTTATTATGAAAAGAAGAAAAGTTTGTAGTGAATTGTTATCAGCGGTATGCAGTGATCAGTCATCAATATCATCAGTCATAACTCAGACGGTATTAAATAGTCGGTGTATCGTATAATGTCACACAGAGAGGAAAACATCCTTGTCACCTGGCCTGGTTCTTAACATTTCCTACACTAAAAATATCGGTAAACCTGCATTCGTCCATATTTTCCTCTTTTATCATAAAATACCGTCAATGGTATTTAAATTATTTTTCCTGTATCCTAATTTTTTTCCAAATTTCGAGAAATATAAAATTAGTGATAAGAAATAGATTGCAAAAGACTATTAGAATTCCTCCTACATTTATGAATTAATGATAAGAAGTAAAAGTTGAAAGGAACTAAGGAAAGAAATGTTATTAACTTTGTGGATATCATCAGGCGAAAAGTTTTTTTAATGACTAAACTATATCTATCACTTGTTAAGTGATAACATGAATCACTTCGCTCTTACACATTCTTTTTTGCAAGTATACTTACATATTTATCAATTATCAATTGCAGTAAATTTGTATGATAAATCAATTCAGCTATAATTGTTGAAAACTTTCATATATAAAAAGCAGAATCAAGATTTGTGGCATTTTAATCCTTTGAAAAATATAATTTTAAATAATTAAATTGAAATAGTTTGAAGCATTTATTACTGGTAAGTGATCAATAAGTTCTTGGCATGCAACAGCATGCAGTAACATGCATACATTAGCGCTCTCAGTCTCAAATCGAGTTTCAATGATAAAATTACATTGAAATAATTCAAAGTATGAATAATAACATGTAATAGCTATAATTATTCACGAGTCAACGATTTTTCGGTATGTAATAGCGTACATGCATTAGTGCTCTTCTTCAGGTTATCGGAATGCAAAAACATGCAGTAGCATGCATGCAACATCACTCTTATCTTTAACTTCTGATTCAAATTTCAATCAAATCTTCAACCATGCATATAATTGTGAAAACAAGTTCTTACTGCCTCATGAAAAACTTGCAATTGTCAAGTTTTTTTTGGCAATTTTTTTTTAATTCTCAAAGAATACATACAATATTGATTAACTCATTTAGTTACTTTTCATCTGCCAGTACTTTTCTTCGTACAGTTCATTTGTTTTTCCTTTTTTT